AGTTTAGACTATAGCTCCTATAGGCTTTTTCTTTAGGAACTGGCATGTCCGGGCCCTTGTCATCTGTAACTGTAACAGCAGCAGGCCGACTGCATGCATGCATGCGTGGCGTGTTCTCGTGGATTGGGGACCCATTACGAAACCCAGGGGAGCCCTTACCATGAATACACTTAAATGCTCCCGGTTCTGACGTTTGAGTAGGACCAGCCTTTTCTTGACCAAGGCCGTGCAGATCCGTGCAGCAAGTTTTTGCTGCACCCTGCAATCCGGGCACACTACAAAGGAAGTGCAGTCGCACGTTTCCAACGACGGCCGCAGGGCTGCAAAAAACTCAGGAATGCAAGTCGCAGAAAGCGCACGAATGCAGCATTCGAGTCGAGGGAGTTGAACTCGCAGCACAGAGTTTTGGCACTGCTTGGTAAATTGTAAACTCAAGAGATGACCAATCACAAGCCCCAAAGCGGGGCATGCAAGCAGCACTGTGACTTTTGGGAACATGCATTTAAGCAGCGCTGTCCTGGAAGTCCCTACAACACCAATAGACCTACCCTAACAACAAACCCAGATCCCAGAAAGAAATCCCCGAAAACCGAGGAAGGACAGCGCGGCTCAGTTTGGTGAAGCTTTGTCGCCTCGATTTCAGTGGCCTGGACTCGTCATTAAATATCAAATAGTAATAACGATAAGAAGTAATAGTGATAATAGCATTAATAGTGAATACTGTTGTAAGAATTTCTATAGTGCTAGCAATATACTTGTTCTCGAAACCAGAGGGAGCGGCGGAGTGATTGCAAGGAGATCTTCAAACTCATGTGAAAGCCGATAAGTGCCGATAAGGGGCTTTTCAAAGACTGCCGCACTTTGAAACATGGCGCCACGTCAGGCCACATTTTGGCTCCCGAGGGTGGTTATAGGCTATCCTGGATACGGATATCTTTGAAAGAGGCAAATGTTGAGAATGGTCATCCCTTCACCCAAATTGCAACCGCACAGCACACCAACATGGAGGGGAGACCGATTGAAAAAAAGGGGTTTGAATATTGCGGAGACAAGATTAGATTGGGCAAGGTAACCCAAACCCCTAAGCCCTTCATCCGCGATCTCCTTCGTTGAGACTCTTCCAAGGAATGCATGTTCAGATTTTTGCCAGGGGAGGTTTAAACGGGCAGCGCGAACCCTAGATCCTAAGCAGGATGGTACTTTTAAGGCCCCAAGCTGGTTTATGAATAGGTTCTCATATAAAACCGACAAAGAAAAATTCGCAATTATCCCAAAGTGCCACCCAGTAAACCCATAACATCTATGTACAAGAAGAGAATGGGCAGTCATATCGCATACCGTTGGGTTCCAATACTCCTTTACTTTTGAAAGCTACCGCTCCTTCTGTTTCAGTCTGGGCCATGGCACGAGAAAAGGCAAAGTCCTGGGCTTGGCGGGCACAATCATTACGAGCGCGCCTCACTTGCCAAACCACTTGCGAAGTGCCTGCCGGCATCTGTAGGGAACTAGGACATAGCTTAGCTTAGGCCCCTACTTACTGTTAGTCAAGGGTTGATAGAAATCATATTGGGGTCCAACCATATTCCTAGAGTGCCGCTGCTACTGGATGCGGGCCTAACCTAGGTTACAATCTTAAAGTTCAATTGCAAGTGATTTGAACGATTTAAAACAAAGCAGCTGAACGCCTTCTGCAACGTAGCGGGTTGTCAGCTCAAAGCTCTGTCACAACCCCAGTTATGAAAGCTAGGTATATTGTACGGGTAGACTGGGAATGGAAAGAACATGGAAGTTACTATGTAGGGTTTAGGGGACAAACATGAAACTCAGATGGAAACTCAAATGAATCAACGGAAACGCAGAATCAAATCAGGCTTAACCGCAGAATCAAATCAGGCTTAAATGGAAGTTCCCACAAGTACAAGTGAAGGGACCCAATACAGACCCCTGATCCTCAAAACACGATCCCTAATCTATGGAAACCTCCAGTAAGACCACAATTATGAACTATGAGCCAAAATGCAAAATACAGATGCATGACCAGAAGAAGAACAAGGAGAAAACAAATATTCGTCGAAGGAGGATGCAGAAAAAACGTGGTGTAGAAGAGGGCCGGAAAAATTGCAGATCCGGCACAAACAACCACAACACCAGGTTAGATGATAGTCACCCCCAACCGAAAAAAGAGCCCAGCCCCAAATTTCTCATCAGTCGAGTTATTCGCGTCAGGTACTACTTGTGCCAGCTTGTCTGCATTCCATTTCTCGAATGATGCCTGTCCACCAGCGGGTCTACCTACAAACTAAAGTGTTCACAACTAGATTGCTGCATGGGTTTCATGTCTGTTCCATCAAACCTACTCAAGTTGAGCAGTTGACACCATTTCGTGAAAGAACATGCAACCCACCGCCTGGAAAGTTATCTATGGGCAAGGAACATCATCTATAATATGGAAGTGTGCAAACATGAGCACAGAATCTGAGCATGGCAATTCATGAATGATTCGTAATTGCCTGGTAGCTGAAACATTCGCTCCTTGCGCTTGGCGAAGAAGGTGTCGCTGGGATCCTGGGTGATCCCTCACTCTCTGTGAACAGGCACTATTTTAGGGTTCAGGGTTCAGGGTCTAAGGTTGAGGGTTCAAGTTTTAGGGCTTAAGGAAAACGGGCTAGGGACTGGAATGTACAGTGACTGTTATGGGCATCTGTCCTACTGACCAACAAGAATTTCTTGCTTTCAACCTCCTTGTCTTGTAACACCGAGTCTTTCACGCTCTTGTTCCATGATTTGGGCTTTCTTGCCGGGGGAAGGGTCTGTTGTCACTGCTGCAAAGTGGGTGGAGGACAGAAAGGCAGGTGTTTGTAGGTAGAGCGGAGGCACACCTCAGCTGAAAGAGCTGGAGTGTACAACAAATCAGGGTAGCAAAACGCGCAGCCAAGCAGCGGCAAACCGGTCAAGGCGGAGACTGCCTCTGACATCAAGGAGCACGCCCATGTCTGATGCATGGCCCATGGTGGCCCCTCCCACCAAGCCTTGCCGTCTCATGAGAGTTCGGAACAGCAACAATGGAAGTGTTTGCTTGAACAACAAAAGAACCACGTTGCTAGCAGCTGCTGCTGGCATTGCTGTCACTGCGTACCAAGAGCATGAGGCAAAAGTACAAAAAGGTGGAAGAGGCGGGGCAAAGCCTAGAGTTGCAGAAGCTGCGATCCTAGTACGGACTGCGATTTTTGGGAACTCCGCAACTCGGGTGATCCTAAACAACCCTATACCCGGAATTGCGCTGACCCGAGAAGCCATGTGAGAACCATGGCTTGTGTGAATGACGGCGCTGTTCTTCACGAGCTTGTGCACTTGGCCATCCAGGAGGCGAGTTGCCGGAGTGAGAGGATCGTTCTCCTGAGCTTGATAGACAGCTTTCATAGCACCTACCCGGTTTGGCGACCTCTAGCCCTCCGCGCCCTGCAATACATCCCCCCCGGACAGTGGGTTTTATTGATATAGCAGGTAATACCTATAGCCACTGTACTGTTCTAAGTTCAATCTTATTTCCTCCATATGGTTCTTGATTGCTTTGATTAATTGGGGAGTGGATGATGCAGGCTAATCAAATTGTCATTTTTTTCGGGACCGTGAAGCAGGATCTAACTGTGGCACGAGAGAAGCTTGACTAGAATTCTGGTTCTTCTACAAGCACGGGTCCCGGACCCGTGACAGCATCAGCTCCAACCAATGTGCGTGTGGTGTCAGAAAGAACATGAATTATTACCCAGTTGAATTTGCTTGATCTCTAGCTTGTCATAAACGTAATGCTTCTACTAAGCAAGAGCAGCACTAAAACTAGCAATACTACGTCAACTGTAAACCAAATAAGTTGTACAACGACTTAAGAAGGGCCAAGAAATTCAGCTTGGCAGGGGAGTTTAGCTGTGTGGAAAACCTTGTGAAACCTCAGGACAAACGCCTCTTCGCAAGCGGAGTGCCCTAAACTCCTAAACCCTAAATACTTTAACCTAAACCCCAAAGAATCTCCAGTGGATTAGTGACAATGTTTCTGAACCTCTTCCGACATTCCCAAACAATCGTGAGAAAGTGAGAAAATCCACAAAGGCCCAGCCAACAAGACCTTTCCAAACTCAAGCTCAATCTTTAAGCGAGAAGTTCGCGCAACTCGCATGCTAGATAAGAAGTCCCTCCTTCCCCTGACCTTCGGAGACTCCTCTCTTCCTTTAATTCTGAGCTAAGCCGCCGCTGCAAGGAAGATTACGGGAATCGAGAGCTGCTCCTTGTTGTTCACAGCTGTAGTTGGGGTTTCAAAGCCCCCTGAGGGATTTTAAGGAAAACAAAAGGTTCTAGGGTCTCTCTTGAGGGTTCCATGAAGTATATAATGTCGAGCAAGCCCCTGCAATACAGGGGGTCTGTTGGGTTGTGGCTTTGGGGGCTCCTTTTTTCATAGTAAGATTAGGGGATGGCGTGCTGGAATTAATTGAGTACACGCTTTGGGCTTGAAGCATAAAGACGTATCCTTCAAGCTTATGAAACCAAAGGCAAAGACACTTTGATGTGATTGGATATATAGACAAAAAAAGCCGAAAGCTTGAAGCTGGTTAGGCTTACCGCCAGGTCCAAAGGTCCAGCATAGCCGGCGTAGTGTCGACGGCGTCCATGACATGCTCCTTGCTTCTTCACTACTCACGATGGCTGGGGCAATGCTGCAAGGGTCCAGAATAGTGGCACCACGTGGCTGTCTGTTGTGTATCTGTGTGCGCCTTCAAAATGCCTAGTTATTTTCATGGGGGCTGTATATGATGCACCTGGACTTGGCTTGTCTCCAGCCTCCCGAAAAGGGAACTTTTGAGGCCCGTCCAAAAGCAAGCCCTAAGCTGACAGCCAAGTTTGCCAAAGTAAGATTTAGACAGCTCCGCCCAAATGATGCAATTGCGACATGATCAAGATCGCTGAGACATCAGGACTGACAAACTGACTGCTGCTGATTTTCCAAGAATGGAAATAGGCCTTCTGGCGCATCTGTCTTAAAGGGGGCTTGGTTAAGGGAGCAATCATATTTCCTGTTCTCTTATGAGGTAATTGTTCATGTAAAAGGGAATGACCTAACTCTTTTCGCCGATTCCAAAGCCGCAAGCTCAAACCTCAAACCTGGAACCCCACGCCCTCTACCTAAGTTGACTTACTGGCGCGCAAGCCTGAAGGTAGAGTGCGGGGCACCGGCGGGCAACAATCCTGCCTACTCCCTTAGATGAGACTCTAAATTCACTCCCTTGTGTTGCCTTCAGCAAGCACCCGTAGCTTGAACTGGACCTGTGCAGACAGCTCAAGATCAAAACGCTATAGTGTTCCTTAAGTAGATAGAATATGGGGTATATGGGGATCTTATTATAATATACCCAAGGCCCTATTCTATCTACTTAAGGGGGACTATAGATGTCCCCAAGCCTGCGGTACACACCTGACGCCCTGGAAGCCCTTCAAGCCCTCAAACTGTCACCTCCACGCAGATTTCCAACACAAGGGTTCCCCCTCAAAAGCTCCACAGAATACATAGATCCGTACCATAAGAGCCACAATTTCTAGCAACACCTTTGTCAGCCCTCAGAAGCCTCATTTCTATGCCCTAACTCCTAAATCCGAAGCGAGTTGCATGCTCTGTGAAGCCATATACAGGGAGCAAAGCTTCATCCCACTCGCGGAGGTTTCCTGGGCTCCAATTCCCACGGCGTTAAGGCTTAGGGATAGGGGTTTAAGGGTTGGTTTAGGGGTGGAGTTTGGGGTTTAAGGCTTCTAGGGCCCCTAGGAGGGGCCCTTCTAACAACCAGGACGTCCAACCCTAAACCCTTACAATCCTGAAGCCCTTGACATGGGCCCATATTCATGTAGGGTGTTACACTAGAAAACCCTAAAACCCTACACCCTAAAACCCTCAACCCCTTAAACCTCCTCAAGCCTCCTTAAAGCCCCCTCAAACCCATGAAGCCCTAAAACCCATGAAACTGGTCATAAAACGATAAACCCCTTAAACCTCCTTAAGCCTCCTTGAAGCCTCCCATGAAACCCTAAAGCCCCTTGACATGGACCCAGTTTCGGGCACTCTTCAGCTTCTGGGGCTCGAAGCCAGGAAAGCCTGGCTCGGTCTTTCTACAGGTTTAGGGGCTATAGGGTTTAGGGGTTTTAGGGGTTATAGGGCTAGTGGTTATAGGGTTTAGGGGTTTTAGGGTCTAGGGGTTATAGGGCTAGTGGTTATAGGGTTTAGGGGTTTTAGGGTTTAGGGGTTTTAGGGGTTATAGGGTTTAGTGGTTATAGGGTTTAGGGGTTTTAGGGTTTAGGGGTTCTAGGGTTATGGGTTTAGGGTTTGAGGTTTAAGGGTTAGGGGGGGAGGGTGATGCTATCATTGCTAGATTACCCTTCTGGCTTTTAGGATTCCGGGCCATAAAGGCTACTGTCGGGAATGGGAAAAAATAATGGGAGTTACTTTAGGGCTTAGGGGGCTGGTGTAGGGTACTTAGGGTCGAGAGTGTCTTTCAAGGGGCTTATAGATCAGAAGGGTGGACAACCAAACAGAGAACATCATGGGTTGCGGTTAAACAGATGCATTAGGACCAAAATTCTTTAGCATGAGACACCTGGGCATGTAATAAGGCAAGTAAGTATAGATATGTCAGAAGTAACTACCAATATCAGTTCGAGGTCTATTTCAGACAGCCTATGCCATATTCAGTACAAGGATTTTTGGTCCATGATATTGGTATTCATTTAAGCCCCTAACCCTACACCCTAAGACCCTAAACCATGAGAGCCTAAGACCTTAAACCCTAAACCCCATGAAGCCCTAACCCTGCTTTGTCATCTAGATTGATGTTGGTAGAAATTCAGACCCTAAACCCTAACCCCCCTAG